CGGGTTCCCACGGGGGGGCGGGGCCTTGCGCTGCAGGACGTGTGTGTTCGAGAAGGGTCGTGAACCCGGGACGTCTGGCTGACAGGGGGGTGGGGGGGCAGTGGAAACGCCTCGGAGGCTGGTGGCAGAGGATCTCGGTCACAAGAGACCTCGTCTTTTCTTTTTACAATTCTCTGCCCCCCGACCTGTTTCGGGGTTTTAATTACTTCCGCACTCCTGACCTACTAGGTGTGCCTTGTGACCCAGCTGGGTTAACAGTCGCTCTCGTTCCCTTTCTGCTTTCTAGGGTCTGAAAAAAGTCAGGGGATGTTGGCATTGGCCATAAGTCCAAACCGGCGCTACCTGGCCATCTCTGAGATGGTACAAGAGAAGCCTACTATCACTATCTATGAATTGTCATCTGTCCCATGCAAAAAGCGGAAAGTATTGAATTCATTTGATTTCCCTGTTGAGCAATTTCTCAGCCTGGCATTTTCTCCTGATTCTAAGTATCTAGTTGCTCAGACAGGACCCCCTGAATCCAACCTTGCCTACTGGATGTGGGAGAAGCAGAGACTGATGGCAATTGTCAGAGCTGACACCCAGAACAACCCTGTGTACCAGGTAAGGTGGCAGGGGAGGCCTAGGCGGAGACAAATCACTCTGAGACAACACCTGTTGCAATCAAGCATGATCTTGTAACGGAAACTCCCTTTCTAAGACATGGGAGGAGAGCAACAATATTTTCCAGAAAAGGATGCATACTAAGATAATTTCCCTGCGGAAATTGAAGTGAGGCAGCATTTTCTCTCCTGAAAGAAATGCTAACATTAAAAAAAATAAGAAAAGCATTAACATTTATTTGAAAGGCAAAGATATTTGGGTGGGGTTTTTTTATTGGCCCAAGTACATGGTTGAGAGAGTTTTTTTTTTTTTTTTTAGACAGGCTTCCTCATCACTTTGTTTCAAAGCTTGTCTAAAATGCATGAGCATTTACACACACACACACACACACACACACACACACACACACACACACAGGAGAGAGAGACTTGCTGCTTTAAAATTGCTGATTTTGCAAATCTGAAAACAATTATGAGCAAAATTGATTAGGAAAAAATATAAGCATTAAAAAAGGGATAAGTGGGAAACTGACTTCTTCCACTGCAGATTCATTCATACACCTAGTGTATTATATCACATTTTGGGCACTATACTTCAAGAAAGATGTGAATAAATAGGGAAGAGTCCAGAGGAGAGTAACAAAAATGATTAGAGGTATAGAAAACATGATTTACAAGACCAGTTTGGAAGAACAGGAATTATTTATTTCTGGAAAGGGAAAACAGGAGATTTGATAGCAATCTTCACAAAGGGTTGTTGTAGAAAGGATGATGATCAGTTGCTCTCTAGGACCACTGGGGACAAAATTCCAATATAATAAAAGGCTCTGTCTCTCTGTCCATAATGTGTTTAGCCAACTGTGCATGCGCCGCCAAGAGGGCAAGCAGCGATTGGCTGCATGGCCTGGGCTGTGTAGGCCTGTTTGCACTGCTGCTGCCGAAGTCTGGCAGTAGGGAACAGCTTCCCCCCAACCTCCCTGCCTGTGGGTGAAGGAGGGGATCACAGCGGTGCCCAGCCCCCGCTGCCCAGTCTGGATGCCCCCCAGAACAGCCAGCAGGGAGGAGGCGACAGTGGGGAGGCAGGGTGCTGCAGGCCAGGCAGACCCGGAGCGGCAGGGGGAGGAAATAGGGGTGGGGTAGGACCCCAAGTGGGAGGGGGGAGCGGGGTCAGACCTGAGGGGCAGGAGCAGGGCTGGACTGAAGCAGTGGCGGGGGGGGAGCGAGGGCAGATATGAAGCAGTGGGCAGAATGCGGGGAGTGGGGTCAGACCCGAAGCAGCGGCAGGGGATGGGATTGGTGGGGGGGTGGGGGGTGGTGAAGCAGGGTCGCACCCAAAGCAGCAGGAGGAGAGGGGTGAAGCGGGGTTAGACCCAAAGCAACGGAGGGAGCAAGGTCTGACCTGATGCAGCAGGGGGTGTGGAGGAGTGGACCCAAAGCGTGGGGGGAGCAGGGTCAGACCCGAAATGGTGGTGGGGAGTGGGGTCAGACTGAAGGGGGGGCGGTTGGTCCTGAAGGGGAAGGGGGGGTGCAGGGCTGCCCACAGTGGGCAAGCTCCTTCACCCACAGTGGACAAGCTTGGATGGAGTGCCGCTACCTAATGCCCCATGCTGCTGCTGCTCTGCCTCATTCAGGTAGCCGGGTGGGCCTCGGCTCCCCCACCCTCTGGCTGGTCCTCGGCGCATCTTCAGAATCATGGCGGTGCTCCCCCACGCTTGGAGCACCCTGTTTGGCTGTTTCTGTCAGCCAGTCAGAGCACAAAAAAAGCCTTACGGACAGACAGGCAGACAGACAGACTTAGGTTTTTATAATATGAGAATTGCCCTAAAGTCTCTGACATTTTTTTGTCATTCTTGATTTTTATAAGATGATAAAGTTTTTAGGATAGAGATCATGCATTTTGGCTTGTTTGTAAAGTATTGGTATAAGCATAGTTACTGAAAAGTAATTCCTCTCCCTCCTGCTTTCCAGGTGAGCTTCAATCCCCAAGATAACACTCAGATTTGTATCACTGGGAATGGCATTTTTAAACTTTTCAGATATATAGAAGGAGCCTTGAAACAGACTAACTTTCAAAGGGGAGAGCCACAAAACTACTTGTCCCATGCCTGGCTCTCTGAGGAAAGGGTTATAGTTGGCAGTGATATGGGCAAACTCTTTCTTTTTGAATCTGGAGATCTGCGCTGGGAGACAAATATCGAGTGTAAAAAATCTCCCAGTGAAATCGAAAAGGATGAGCTGCCCAAAGACTCTGAGAGGTATGTTTTTGTGATAATTACTGACAGGGTCCAGCCCATGAGTAAAGATCTTTTGCAGCAGGAAGTGATCTATATAGATGTTAACTGGAAAAACCTTTAGCATCAGTGCTTGCGTTCACTGCCCTGCTGGTAATTATGTGCTTCTCTGGTTGCTGCTGAACTATAATTTTCTTTCTTTCTTTTTTTTTCCTAGTCTCCTTGAATTTGTTACTGGCAGTTCCCCAGATCTTGCCAATGAAATGGTCCTTGAAGGTGATGTCCCACAGCAGGTTTCACTGCCTCGCATCTCTGCCATTGCAGTTTATTCCAAAGGCTTTGCGTGCTCAGCTGGGTCAGGAGTTGTTCTGCTGTTTGAGAAGACTGAAGATAAAGAAGGTTATAGGGAGATCCGAGAAATACGGGTAGGTAAGAAACTGTGATTGTACTAGTAGGGTCTTTTCCAAGTGATTGGGAGGTTACAGGTCTTAAACAGGCCACAGCTGTTCCATCTGTAAGCTCCTTTGTTTCACATGTGTTCCACATAAAAGCTCAGCAGGTCTTCCAGGCACTCTACAAATGTCACCTAATCATAGTTCTGTTGAAAGCCTGGCCAGCATTTACATAGGGGGAAGTGACTAGTCCAAAGTGGCATGCAGTGTCAGTGATGGCCATTCTCTTTCAAGGTAACTTCTCTATGTTTCCCTTTGTGCAACTGGCACCCACGGCACTGCTGAAATTCAGACACCTTTTAAGAAATCTGTCTTGGCTCAATGTCTAGTTGGCAGCTGTATCAAGTGGAGTGCCCCAGGGGTCAGTCCTAGGGCTGGTTTTGCTCCATGTCTTCATCAACAACCTGGAAGATGGAATAGAGTGTACCCTCAGCAAGTTTGCAGATGACACCAAGCTGGGGGGAGTAGTAGATACGCTGAAGGGTAGGGCTAGGTTTCAGAGTGACCTAGACAAATTGGAGGATTGGGCCAAAAGAAATCTCATGAGGTTCAACAAGGACAAATGCAAAGTCCTGCACTTTGGACAGAACAGTCGCAGGCACCAGTACAGGCTGGGGACTGACTGGCTGGGCAGCAGCTCTGCAGAAAAGGACCTGGGGGTTACAGCGGACAATAAACTGAATATGACCCAGCAGTGTGCCCTTGTTGCCAAGAAGGCTAACGTCATCCTGGGTTGCATTGGTAGATATGTTGCCAGCAGGGCCCGGGAAGTGATTATTCCCTTCTATTCAGCAGTGGTGAGGCCATATCTGGGGTACTGTGTTCATTTTTGGGCACCCCACTACAAAAAGGATGTGGACAAATTGAAGAGAGTCCAGTGGAGGGCAACAAAAATGGTGAGGAGGTTGAGCGACATGACTTATGAAGAAAGACTGAGGGAACTGGGCTTATTTAAGTTAGAGAAGAGAGGACTGAGGGGGGATTTAATAGGAGCCTTCAACTACCTGAAGGGGGATTTGAAAGAGGATAGAGCTGGATTGTTTTCAGTGGTGTCAGATGATAGAACAAAGAGCAATAGTATAAAGTTACAGCAAGGGAGGTTTAGGTTAGATATTAGGAAGAATTTTCTCACTAGGAGGGTAGTAAAGCACTGGAACAGGCTACCCAGAGAGGTGGTGGAAGCTCCATCCTTGGAGGTTTTTAAAACGAGGCTAGACAAAGCCTTGGCTGGGATGATGTAGTTGGGGCTGGTCCTGCTTTGAGCAGGGGGTTGGACTAGATGTGACCTCCCAAGGTCTCTTCCAACCCTAACTTTCTGTGAGTCTATGGTTGGAACTGCATGGATTCCTACAGTTGAGGATAAGAGGAAGGTGCACAGTCCCCAGATACTTCAATTTCTTCCTTTCAATAGCTAGTGAACATCTTTGTTTTGTTGTTGTTTTTTTCCACCAGAGTTCTTAAATTATAATTACATTTGTGTACACTTCCTAGACCCTGTCTAGTTAGTCTATACAAGTACAAATCCACCCTGCCGGCTGCTTGAATACAAAAGATAGAGAAGAGGGGAAAAGTGGGGAGGGGGGAAGTGGAGGCAGTGCTGAGAGGCAGGCAAGTAATAATCCCATAGGAGTGGGGCAAACAAGCTAATCCAGGTAACAGGATAGGAATCCATAGTCCTTGTTTAGACCATGTTTAACACAATCTAGTCTGTGGATGATTTCTTATAGATTCATAGATGCTACTGTTGGCAGGGACCTCAACAGATCATCGATTCTGACCCCCTGCCTAGGCATGAAAGAGTGCTAGGGTCAGATGACCCCAGCCAGATGCCTATCCAGCCTTCTCTTAAAGACCCCCCCAAGGTAGGGGAGAGCACCACCTCCGTTGGAGCCCATTCCAAATTTTGGCCACCTTTACCATGAATAAGTTTTTCCTGATATCTAGCCTAAGTCTCCTCTCTGTCAGTTTGTGACCATTGTTCCTTGTTGCCCCAGGAGGCACCCTGGTGAACAGAGCATCTCTGATCCCTTGCTGTGTCCCCCTAATGAATTTGTAGGCGGCCACAAGATCACCTCTCAGCCTTCTGTTGCGGAGGCTGAAGAGGTCCAGGTCCCTCAGTCTCTCCTCCTAGGGCTTGTTCTGTAAGCCCCTGACCATACGAGTGGCCCTCCTCTGGACCCTCTCAAGTCTGTCAACATCCGTCTTGAAGTACAGCACCCAAAACTGGGTTCCACAATTTCACATTCAAGTTGACTTTTAAAGTTGCATTGTTTTATAACAGCTACTCTGAGGTATGCAATGAAATATCCAGGAAGGTAAAAGTGTTCTGTTGTAGGCTTTTGTGTGTTTTTAGACTTGAGGTCAGATCCATGTCATCTTATTCTTTAACATAGGGGTCATCCAGCCTATCCAATTTAGTCAGCAGGGGCACTGGGAGCAGATGATGGCATATATGACATTTGTAGAGGAGCAGGTGAAGAAACCTTGCATGTTGTTATCCATGTTACTGGTTCAATGATGATATGGTCTGTGCTGATGAGCAGGTGCATCTTACGTCTGGGTCTGCTACAATGTCTTGTGGCTCAGTGAGAATACGAGTTATGTAACCTTTTATTTGAGAGATGCTGGTTGAGTTTGGGGGGATCTCCATAAGCTGTATTGAAAATGTTTGCTTGTAATTAGAGCCAAATAAAGGTCATTTTGTTCATATTGCTTTCTTCGCCTACTGTCCAAGCACTGCTGTTAGTACCTAAGCATATCTCTGCCAAAGCACTATAACGCAGGAACTGTGTGTACGTTATCATGCCTATTGGATTTGGAAACATCTAATTGGTTGGTTTGCCCTCTAGATTCCTCAAGATCAGCAGAGCAGTGACCCAAATCAGTCAGACAAGCAGGATATTAAATGCATGTGCTTCAGTCCCTCAGAAGAAATACTGCTTATTAGCACAAGTAAAAATCAGCTTTACACCTTTACCCTGTCCTCAACTGAGATAATGAAGGTGAGTTCCACCTGATTACCATTGCCCATGCACTGTAACCAGTGATGGAGGGATAAGCAAGGGCCGGGGGACCACATTCTATTCCATCCTGCTTGAGTCCCTGAAAAACAGTTACCCTAATTACCTGAATTCAAGCTGACTTCAAATTTAAGACAACTCCCAATAATTAGATTTTATACGTAGAAAATATTCCATTTGTTTTATATTCACCCCCTCTAATACTGCTGTGGAGTATGTAAGAGCAGGGGTCAGAGACCAGACTTCCATCCTTTGCCTCCATGTGCCTGCCCCTGTGCTCCATATTTCCCCTGTCACTTGCCCCCTGCAGTGCCTTCCCCCCCTCACCACTGTCTGCCAGTCCCTTTCCATGCTGTGCCTATGTCTGTCTCCCTACCACCTGCTCCCCACTGCCTAGACCTTGTCTTCCCCCCGCACCCCTCCCCGTTACTACCTCCTGGGCAGCTTTGGCTCCCAGTCCAGTGCAAACAACGGCAGTGGCCCCAGCCCAACCTGGCCAGGCAGAAGCATTGGTGGCAGCTCTGAGCCTGGTTGGGGTCAGTCAGGGAGGGTGGGCAGGCTGTATGTTCTCCACATGCCCCCACCAAGCCACACACTGTGGTCTACCCTATGAGCCCCTTCCCCTGCCTCAAGAGCCACCCTGGTCTGGGCCAGCAGTGGCTCAGCTCCATCTTTGGTTCTGAGCCTGGGGTTGAAGCCAGAGCTGAGTTGCCACCTGTGGTGGGCCAGTACTTGAACTTAAAAGAGGGTGCTTTTTTACCATATTCACCAGGGTGGGGGGACCCCTCATCTTGGAGGTTTCTTCAAGTCAACATGGTAATGTGTTTACTTTTGTAATGTGCCTTCACCAAGAGCAAGTTATGCCCGACCAACCTGATTTCCTTCTGTGATAAGGTGACGGGGCTCTGTGGGGGGCAGGGGGAGAGCAGTGGATATGATTTATCTTGAGTAGCAAGCCTTTTGATACTCTGTCTCATGACTTTCTCATCAATAAGGCAAGGAATTATAGACCAGATAAAAGTACTGTAGGGTGGATACATAAGTGGTTGAATCATCATCACCCCAGACTACAAAGGTGGGTGGATGGTAATAGGATGGGCTTCAGTGTGGATATGTGCAGGGTGCTGCACCTGGGGAGAAGGAATCCACAGCATACATACAAGCTGGGGAGCTCCCCCCTTGTGAGCAGAGAGGCGGAAAGGGATCTTGGAGTCATTATTGACTCCAAGATGAACCTGAGCTGCCAATGCCAGACCGCAGCCAGCAAAGCCAACCGCACCTTGTCGCGCATCCAAAGATGCATCTCAAGCCGGTCCAGAGAGGGGATACTCCCCCTCTATATGACATTGGTCAGACCGCAATTGGAGTACTGCGGCCATCACCGGGGGCCG